CCCGGGGGGGGGGTGGTCGGCGGGGAAAGCCGAGGCCAGCGCATGCAAGGGTGGCGTGGTGTGGCGGAGGCCGGAGGGGCCCCCGCCCGCCCGCCTCAGCCGTAGTGGTAGACAAAGTCGTAGCTGCTGGGCTCCTTGGGGACGGGGGGGGGCACCTCGGGGACGTGGATGTTCTCCAGGTCCAGCAAGCGCAGCTTCATCTCCATGCTCAGCAAGGTGTCCAGGTCGCTCTTGGTCAGCTCGCTGGCCATGTCCTTCCCCAGGAGCGCGTTCAGGCCGTCGATCCAGATGGCCCGGCGGTCCGAATGGGGTCCGGGGGGGGGGGGGGGGAAGGAAGGAAGGAAGGAAGGGCGGTTGAGACCTGGGGGCAGCCGTGGGGAAGATGCCCCCCCCTCCCTCTCTCCCCCCCCACACCTCAAAGGGCAGGAGGGGGGAGACGGGAGTGCCTCGCCGGGGACTCTCTGGAGGAGGAGGAGGAGGAGGAGGAGGGCAGGAGGAGTGCCAGAGAGGACGTTCTGCGGGCACAGCGAGGAGAGCCCCCGAGGCAGGGGCTTCCTTCGAGTCTGGCCTCCTGCCACCATCTCCTCCCTGACACTCTTGCCATTGCCAGCAACAGGGGTGGGGGTGGGGACGGGGTGAGTCTGTCGGCATCGAACCCCGCTGGGAGTCCCCTACTCCAGGGCCAAAAAAGAATAAAAGTGTACCTAGCCGGCCTCGCCTGTGGCAAGGCAAGTCAATCGTGAAAAAGGGCCCCGGGGAAAGTGCCCGGAAGGTCCGGTCAGGAGAGGAGGCTGCAGCCAGTGGGTGGGAGGGAGGGAGGGAGCTTTTCCCTCCAGTCTCAGCTGGCTGCTTCCAGGCACAGTTTGAGCGGCTGGTGCTGCTGACCTCTAAAGTCCCATATTTGTTTATACGTGTTCCTCCATGTTCCCTCGCCCTCCGAGATTAGGTGCCTGGCAGCCTGGGAGAGGGGGGCCGTTTTGGTCATGGCGCCCAAACTCTGGGACTCCCCACCCACCCACACCCACCCCAAGACTCGCCCGTCCCCTTCTGTGGCCGCCTTCTGCCGGCACAGGAAAACTTGTTTCAATGACTGTTCCCCCACTCACCTCCTCCCTTCCTACTCAAGGTTTTAATTGTGTTGATGTTGTTGTGTGTGCGTTTTAGATTGCTTCTACGTGTGTTAATGTGATGTGTTTATTTGGTTTTCACAGTGTTTAAGCCGCGTTTTTATGATGTGCAGTTGGCATCAGTTGGCGGGGTACGCCTGTTGCAAACAAAGATAAATACGGCTGCAGTGAGTGGGACTCAGAGGTGGGCTGAGCAGCTCTCCCTGGGTGGGTCTTCTGCCCACCCCCCCGGCTGCTTCCTGGCTGCTCTTGATCTGCCTCCTTGTTCCTGACGGGGCGGAGGGGGGCCCGCCAGATCTCGGAAAGGGAGCAGGGTTAGGACTCGGAAGGGCCAAGGAAGAAGCTGCAGAAAGCCCCTTCCTTGGCTGCTGGGGGGTGGGTGTCTGCAGAAGAAGTCGCCTGTGACTAGGCGGCACTTTGCACCATTCCCAGCAGAGAGACTCGGCCGGAAAATGCAGGGTGGCCCCCAGCCTAGGTCACCCCAGCAGCAGCAGCACTCCGGTTCCACTCTGAAGAGCTCAGCCTCGGCTGGGCGGGGGGGGGGGGGGGGGGCCGGGCGGGCCCCAGCGGAAAAAAGCCACTCAGGCCTCGCTTCGTAGCGTCGGCGGGTAGAGGCAGGGCCCGGGGGGGAAGGGAGGAAACTGCAGCCAAGGGGAAGAGGCCTCTTGAGGGAGAGACTTGCCGCCCCCCTGCAGCCCCCTTCACCTCATATTTGTTGGGCGCAATGAAGTTCAGGGTCTCGTCGGGGTCGTAGAGGATGGAGAAGGCCAGCTCGAGCGCCTCCTGGGAGGGAGAAGTCAAGGAGGACAACGAGAGTCAAGGGCGGGCCAAGGACTTTGCCCTCCTCCTCCCCCTCCGGGCCCCGGCAAAAGGGAGCCCGGCCCAGGCAGGTACCTTGTTCTGCTTCAGGGCTCCCTTCTCTTTCATGTGGGGGCAGTCTTTCCCAGTGACAACGGCCTTGATGTCTGCGACAGGGACTAGGGAGCAAAGAGAGCGGGATTCGGAGCAGGAGTCGGGCCTGGCGGAATCGGGGAGGGATGATGCAAAGGGAACCAGCCAGCCAGCCTCCACCGCGGCAGGAGGGAGACTCTGCGCTTGCGCAGGGCGCCTGAGATGGGCAGCCACGGAGCCCAGCCACGGTGTCGTCCCCCCCCCCCGTGCCCCACACGGCCCGACACGTACTCTTCTCCTGCAGGGACTCAAAGGTCACCTCTCCCTGGGCGTTGTTGTCCTCCAGGTCCCCGTAGTGCAGCATCTTGTGGTTGAGCGCCAAGCGGCAGTACCAGAAGCGCTCTGCAAGACACGACGCACATGGTTCCGGCTGACGGGCAGGTGGCGCACCCATGGCGATGGACTCACTTCCCCACGGATTCCTCCAGCATCCAAGAAGGGGACCCCATCTGACCCGCATGTGGGGTACGGAGCAGCCGAGCCCGCCTCCCCCCCCCCCCCCGGCCCCCCCTTCCCCCCCCCCCCCGCGCCCTCGGGGC